CGCCAATCGGGGCCCAGTCAGCTGGGAGAGCGACCCTACGGGGAGCCAATCAGAGCTCGGCCACGCCCCCCCGATGTATCAATGTGCCCGATGGCAACAAAGTAACCAGCTGGGCGGCGTGGAACCGAACTCTGGGATCGAATCCTCGTTCTCTGCCAGCCAGCTCGGGTTTCCTTCCTGCGGCCCCCCCAACTGAGCCAGGGGGTCGATCCCTCGCTTCCTCCCAGCCTCCCCCAACTGAGCCAGGGGGCCGATCCCTCGCTTCCTCCCAGCCCCCCCCCAACTGAGCCAGGGGGTCGATCCCTCGCTTCCTCCCAGCCTCCCCCAACTGAGCCAGGGGGTCGATCCCTCCCAAGCCCTGGGATCCATGCCGGTCCCCCCCAAACCGACCCACAGGATCCCTCCCATCCCATCCCCAGAACCAGTCTTGACTTTCAGAAACTAACTTCAGCCTTGTCCAAGTTAGGATTACTGCAGAAAGGGATCTGGGGGTCACAGTGGATCACACCACATGCTACATGTTAGTCAGCAGTGGGATACTGTTGTTAAAAAAAAAAGCAAACATGATTCTGGGATGCATTAACAGGACTGTTGTGAGCAAGATACAAGAAGTCATTCTTCTGCTCTGCTATGTGCTGAGTAGGCCTCAAGTGGAAGTATTGTGTCCAGTTCTGGGCACCACATTTCTGGAAAGATGTGGACAAATTGGAGAAGGTCTGGAGAAGAGCAACAAAAATGATTAATGGTCTAAAAAACATGAGCTATGGGGGAAGACTGAAAGAACTGGGTGTATTTAGTCTGGAAAAGAGAAGACTGCGAGGGGACATGATAGCCGCTTTTAAGTACCTAAAAGGAGGCAGGAGAAAAATTGTTCTCCTTAACCTCTGAGGCTAGGACAAGACACAATGGCTGTGTCTAGACTGGCAGCTGTCTACACTGGCCGCTTGAATTCATGCAAGAACACTTCCTACTGTCTGAAATCAGAGCTTCTTGCGGAAATGCTATGCTGCTCCTGTTCGGGCAAAAGTCCTTTTGCGCAAAGCTTTTGTGCAAAAGGGCCAGTGTAGACAGCTCAGATTGGTTTTGTGCAAAAAAGCCCCGATCGTGAAAATGGCGATCGGGGCTGAAAATGGCGATCGGGGCTTTTTTGTGCAAAAGCGCGTCTAGAGTGGCACGGACGCTTTTCCCCAAAAAGTGCTTTTGCGGAAAAGCGTCCGTGCCAATCTAGACATTCTTTTCCGAAAATGCTTTTAATGGAAAACTTTTCCGTTAAAAGCATTTGTGGAAAAGCATGCCAGTCTAGACGTATGGGTTTAAATTGCAGCAAGGGAGGTTTAGGTTGGATGCTAGGACAAATCTTCCTACCTGTCAGGGTGGTTAAACACTGGAATAAATTGCCTAGGGGGGTTGTGGATTCTCCAACATTAGAGATTTAAGAGCAGGCTAGATACACACCTGTTAGGGATGATCGAGATGGGCATGGTCATGCCATGAGGGCAGGGTTCTAGATCTGATGACCTCTCAAGGTCCCTTCTAGTCCTAGGATTCTACGATTACTGATTATTAATCCGGGGCTACATTTAGACTGGCAAGATTTTGCACAAAAGCGGCTGCCAGTTAACCCTCTCCCGCTGGCCAGTTAACCCTCCCGCAATGAGCAGGGTTAACTATGGCACTGCCCACACAGCAGGAGGTATTTTTTCACATCCATCACCGTCAAAACTGCACATGTGGGACATCCTTCTTCTGCGGGAGGTGGTTTAACTACACAGATGGGAAAAGCCTTTCTGTCTTTGTACGGTATACCCCCTGGCTATGGGTACATCTACGGTACACCCCCTGGCTATGTCTACACTGGCGGCTTCTTGCGCAAGAACATCTTGTGCAAAGTACTTGTGCAAGAAGTCTTGCGCAAGAAAACGTTCACACTGCCATGTGCGCGCTGTGCTTTTGCGCAAGAGCGCCCATGGCCGTGTGGATGATTTCTTGCGCAAAAAAGCTCTGAAGGCCAATTTAGCCTGAGGGCTCTCTTGCGCAAGAAATCCCTGCCGAGCATCCACACTGCCCTCTTGCGCAAGAGCTCCTTCACAAAAGGGCTTACACCTGATAAAAAAGAGCGTAGCTCTTGCGCAAGGAGCCCTCTCTTACCACGCCGGACTGTAAATTTCTTTGCGCAAGAGCAGGCAGAAAGTGTGGACGCTCTGCAGATTCTTGCGCAAGAACGGCTGTACTTGCGCAAGAAGCCGCGAGTGTAGACATAGCCTTTGTGTGTAACTGCAGGGCTGTAGTGTAGACATGCCCTCAGTGTAAATATGTGATTTAAAGGTGCATCCTTAGCAAGTTAATCAACACCAGCTGCCTTGCTAGACAGAGGTCAAAGTCTACAGGCAGCATATGGCTCACCCTTTGACTACTCCAGGCTTAGTGGCAGTGTATTTCTTCCCATTTGGGGTCAGATTCAGTTCCCCTGGAGATCCTGGAAGCAGGCTGGAGTCTTGCCTGAGAGCACAAGGAAGGAGCAGCAGGATAGTAACACAGATCCCTAACCAGCAGGAGAATGGGACCCAAGTGACAAAGCCCTGGAAATCCCAGCCCAAGCTTGTGTGGGGCACACCGGTGTGTGTGTGAGCTGTCTTCTTCTGGGTGTGGCGGCTGGAAATACAGACCACACATACGGGAGCTGTCATTTTCCATCTGTGCAGCAAGTACCTAGGGTCAGGTCCTCCTGTTTAATTTCCATCTGGTGCTGTTTAATTTCCATCTAGTGCTGTGGGAAGTGTATTTATATACACCCTGCCCCCCAGCCCTTTCTCCCCCCCCGCCCCCCGAGATCACATGGTGCTCACTGTGGGATAGTCACCGGCAGCTGATGGTGCAGCTGGCAGAAATAACAGCTCATGGTACGGAGAAGGAAGCCAACTCAGGCTCTCTGCACAGGCACTACTGTGGAGAATGCTTTGGAAGGGACCTCTCAGGGAAGAGACCAGAAGGAGACCCCATCTACTGGAAGGCATGGGATGCAAAGGATCAAGGAATTTGAAGCTCAAGTGGTATTCTCATCCACAGGGCTCACCGAACCGCAGCGCATGCACAGATCGCCCGAACCCGGCTCTTCCGGGTTGCAATCTACTCACCACAGGCGAGTATACTATTATTTGTCAAGCCCCGCTCATCCATCCTCCCTTTTGAAGGAAAAGGTCCAGGTAGGAATTGTCTAATCATGGAAGTAAACACGTGGTTGCTCAGGTGGTGTCGGAGAGAGGGTTTTGGTTTCGTTGACCATAGCACTCTGTTCCGGGCACAAGGATTGCTAAGAAGAGATGGCATTCACCTAACCAAGAAAGGAAAAAACAACAAATAGTCTAGTAGCACTTTATAGACTAACAAAACATATAGATGGTATCATGAGCTTTCGTGGGCACAGCCCACTTCTTCAGATGGCCAGAGTATTGAACTCAACACTCCAGTCATCTGAAGAAGTGGGCTGTGCCCATGAAAGCTCATGAGACCATCTAGAGGTTTTGTTAGTCTCTAAGGGTACGTCTACACTACAACGTTAATTCGAACTAACTTAGTTCGAATTAGTTAATTCGAACTAAGCTAATTCGAACTAACGGATCCAGACTAAAAAACTAGTTTGAATTAGCATTTTGCTAATTCGAACTAGCATGTCCACATTAAGTGGATCCTGAACCGGGGTTAAGGATGGCCGGAAGCAGTGCCGGCAGGGCATCAGATGAAGACTTAGAGTGTGGAGCTGCTGTCTCAGGCTAGCCGAGGGCTGTGCTTAAAGGGACCCGACCCCCACCCCGGACAGACAGTTCTCAGGGGTGCCCCGCTTGCAAAGCAGTCCTGTCTTGGAGTGCCCTGAGTGCCCACACTGGGCACATCACAGCACTCAGCCATCAGCCCGGCTGCACTTGCCGCAGGCTGCCATCTGGGGAGAGGGGGCAATTGGGGAGCTGCAGGAGAGCTTCCACCCCCAGAAGCCCGCAGAGCCAGCCCAGTCCTCCCCATTGGGAGGCTAAAGAGACTGGGACTTTTCAGCTTAGAAAAGAGGAGACTGAGGGGGGATAGGATAGAGGTCTATAAAAGCATGAGTGGTGTGGAGAGGGTGAATAAAGAAAAGTTCTTCATTAGTTCCCATAATAGAAGGACTAGAGGACACCAAAGGAAAGGAATGGGTAGCAGGCTTCAAACTAGTAACAGAAAGTTGTTCTTCACAAAGCAAAGAGTCAAACTGTGGAACTCCTTGCTGCAGGAGGCTGTGAAGGCTAGAACTAGAACAGAGTTTAAAGAGAAGTGAGATAAAGTGATGGAGGTTGGGTCCATGGAGTGGTATTAGCCAGGGGGTAGGAGTGGTGTCCCTGCCCAAAGTTTGTGGAAGGCTGGAGAGGGATGGCACGAGACAAATGGCTTGGTCACTGTCTTCGGTCCATCCCCTCCAGGGTCCCTAGGGTTGGCCGCTGTCGGCAGACAGGCTACTGGGCTAGATGGATCTTTGGTCTGACCCAGTACGGCCATTGTAAGCTCAGGGCTCAGTGTCGGGGGGCTCAGTGGACCCCCTTGATTTTCATGCACACCTGCTCCTGAGTGGCCAGGCTGGCAGCTCTCCTGCCCTAGATGGCCACTTTCCTGTGCCTAGTGCGGAGGTTGTGGACGAGGTCCACGATGTCCGCACTAAACCAGGCGGGTGCCCGCCTCTTGCGGGCCTGGCCAGGCTCCCGAGAGCCACCAGCCTGGTCCCGGGAAGAGGGGGAGGGCTGGGGGGCATCGGGTGGCTGGTTCGAGCCGTGCCAAGTGCAGGGTCTGCTAGCTGGGTGCTGGAAGGCTTGCACCTGGCACGGGCATCGTAGCCAGCCCGTGCCCCTTTAAGAGGTCCGGGGCCAGGAGGGGGGCAATAGAGTTTCCCTGGCGTTGGCCAGAGTGGCCACCAGGGAAACCTGGGGAGGGCTAGCCTCCCACTAGCTCGAATTAAGGGGCTACACACCCCTTAATTTGAACTAGTAAGTTCGAACTAGGCTTAGTCCTTGTAGAATGAGGTTTACCTAGTTCGAACTAAGCGCTCCGCTAGAATTAAGTTCGAACTAGCGGAGCGCTAGTGTAGCGCCTATCAAAGTTAATTCGAACTAACGGCCATTAGTTTGAATTAACTTTGTAGTGTAGACATACCCTAAAGTGCTACCAGACTATTTGTTGTATTTTAAGTTTAGCTAATGGTAGATGAGCCATCCTGGCTGGATGGACGTGACCCTGCCCTCCTCAGAGAATGAATGAGAGGCAAGTGGGAGCTACAGGCTGAACCTCTCTAATCCGGCACTCTTGGGATCTGACAAGTGTTGAACCAGAGAGGTCAATGTTGTCGAGCAGTTTTACCAACACTTCCACTGCTTGCTGGGCTCTTCGAAGACATTTAGGGGTAAATTTGAGCTAAATAACAGCACCAAACACCGAGAGCCAGGCCTGGTGGCTGTAAACAAACTTCATAGGACCACAGGAAACTTGGGCAGCCCCATGATAAGTGGATCTCCGGCTCAGTAAAATCATGCCAGACCACGGAGGTTGCCGGATCAAAGAGCGCCGGACTAGAGAGGTTCACGCTGTACAAGGCTGTGGCTGCGTACCAAACCAGCTGAGTGAGCTGGCGTCCGGTTGGCGGACAGGGATTGGGAAGAGGGAAGGGGTGGATGTGGATTTGCTTATCAGTCCATGCGCATGTGGGGCCAAGGCGCTGCATGGGAGGGTGTCTGGCTGGGTCTAAGAGGCACCAGGCTGGAGAGAGCTGAGTTCGGAAAACAATGACAACTTTCCATTCCGCAAAGCCGCCCCCGCATGGCAGTGGGGCTTGGGAGGAAGCAGCTGTTCTCCAGACCCTCCGCCCCACGGCTGCTGAGGGGCCCTGCTGCAGGCTCTCCCTGCGGCCGGTCAGACTGGGCCGGATTCTGCTCTCTGCCAGCAAGGAGTGAGCGCGGTGCAGTGAATGGTGTTACCCCGGGGCTGGAGGGGGGCAAACAAACTCCCCCGGGATGCAGCATTCCGGCCCTTTGAGCAGCGCTGGGCCCTGCCAGGAGAGGGACGGGAGCTGAGCCCTGACATGGAAACTCCCTGTTGGGATCCAGGGGCAAAATGCCCAAGGAGCAGCGGAGGAGTCATGGGACCAGCAGACTGTTGCGTCTAGTGCCCCTCGCCAACAGTTTCCCACGGGACCGTTTCCCGGCCCTCTCTCCGCCCTCCCCACACACTGCCGCGCAGGTCAGCGGTGCCGTCCGGAAACACGAGATCTCGGCCCCACGCAGCACAGCCAGGCAGGAGCGCGACAAGCTGACAGTGATGCTGCCTTGTCACCCTCCCCCACCCCACCTGTGCCCAGCACGTCTCGAGATGTGTTCCTGGCGGAGAGGGGTCCGGGGTGCTGTGCACACGGCCTTCCCCACCCCAATAGCTCCCAGGAGGGTAAGGTGATTAGATGAGCCAGGTCAGTCCCACTTCTGCCTGGCCTTATGCAGCATGGGGAGAAGTCACCGACAGTGATGCTGCCTTGTCACCCTCCCCCACCCCACCTGTGCCCAGCACGTCTCGAGATGTGTTCCTGGCGGAGAGGGGTCCGGGGTGCTGTGCACACGGCCTTCCCCACCCCAATAGCTCCCAGGAGGGTAAGGTGATTAGATGAGCCAGGTCAGTCCCACTTCTGCCTGGCCTTATGCAGCATGGGGAGAAGTCACCTTAACAACCCTTCTTCGACTGTCCCACCAGGCACCCGGGCTCCCAGAATTAACTGCTTCTGGGGGCTGAGCAAAGGGGACTCGTGGTAGCATTGCCCCCTGGTGCCCCAGGCAAAATTTTATTTGCTAGACGGGGTGCCTCCTCATGCCCCCTCCCTAATTCTCTGAGTGGCCCTTCCTGCACCCCCCCCCCCACAGGCACCAATTGCCTAGGGGGCTGGACCTGGGGGGGAAGTGCAACAGGTTAGC